ATACTTGGAAAGTTGTTGGATAGTCTTACTGGTGCATTAAGTCTAAAGAGTTTATTTTGTATGTACACTGCGAAAAAAAAAGAAAGAGACAGTTCTATACTTCCCGTTCTACCAGGCTGATTGACAAAATTCAAATTGCGTTCTTCATGTCTTGAAAGTGCAACTTAGGATATGTGTTAGATTTATATATAGCATTGTTCTAATATAGGTATTTTGGCACAAAAATCAGACCTTTTCTGAAATAGCATACCAATATTTTTCTATATTTCGATTCTACGACTCAAATTATGCCACACTGCCAAGTTTTGTAAAAATTACACGAGTAGTTTTTAAAAAATTAGCTCCTCAATGTCAATCAAGTTTAGTATATATTTATTAAAATCTTTGGTACAACTCTGATAAACACCCTAATTTCACCAAATGTGGCAATATGTGTTTTGCGCTGGTTTTTGGCACGATTGCGTGTTGTATGGCAACCATGTCGACGTTGAAAAGTCTTTTGGTGGAGTAGTTTAAATTGCTAGCTGGTTCGTGTCACGTGTGTTTTTGAAATGGCCTATGTTGCGATGAAAGACGTGGTGGGAAGGTTTCAGCCACGTATTTTAGATTGTGTGCAGAGTAAATTTAATATGAAAAGGTACGATGTTGGAGTTGTTAACGAGTTTTTTGTTCACGGATGTATTTATGGGTATCGTAGTGCATTTTTGGAATTTCTGTGGGAGTCGGGACTTTTAAAACGGAGTTTGACGTGTCCAAAATGCGGAGCTGATATGAGAACTCGGACGAAAAAAAGTGTTTCTGATAGACTTGTGGGGGTTTGCAGTAAAATGGTTGCTAATAAAGTATGTGAGTGTCAGCGGAGTTTAAGGTTTGGATCTTGGTTTTCGTGTAGCAAGTTAACGTTGGAGGAAGTTTTTATTGTTACATTCGAAATTTTGAATCATAGGAAGGCATGTGATATAGCAAAATCGTGGAAGTTTTCTTCACAGACGTTGTGTGACTGGCGAAATTTTATTAACGAATGTATTTTGGACTTTGTATGCTCTGTATCTGAGAAGATAGGGGGGAAGATATTTCTGCTTTCAAAAGAAGCTTTCATTATGGTAAGTGCATTTTATTTTATTGTTTTTATTTTGTAGAATGTTATATTCATTGTTTTTTGTATGAATTTCCATTTTTATTGTTGTTTTTTGAATTGTCTGAAATTTATTTTAGTTTATTTTCTTGATTTGTTTTTAGTGTAGATTGTGCAATTCGTAGATGTTTTTTAAAGTTGAAACAGAACGCTGTGTACATGGTATTCTTTGAAATTTATTGTTGTTATGTTAATTTATTAAAGCGAGGTGTGCGTAGTTCATAGATTCGTTCATTGCCTACAGTGTGCCATTTGTAGATTTTTTTTAAAATTAAAACATGTCACTGTGTACATGGATTCTTGTCAAACATTTTTGGTTAGAAACTTTACGTTTTTGCTATCTAAATTTTTTGTTTTTGTTTCGGATTTTTAGCTTAAATCGTGTGTTCAAAACGTAGTTTTTGCATGTGCGAAAACCGTGTTTTTGGAGACATTTTAGGCTTAAAGTTCGAAATGTAGACAAAAAATTTAGATAGTAATATGGCAGCGCGAAGTTCCTCACCAAAAATATTTGGCGAGAAATTTGGCGACTTGAGGGCTTTCACACCAAATTTTACAAAGTTTAACATTTAGGCATAATTTGAGTCACAGAATCGAAATTTGGAAAAACATTCGCATGTAATTTCAGAATAAGTTCGATTTTGTATCAAAACACCTATCTTAGATATGCTATATATAAATCTACATATCTATAATACACATCCTAAGTTACACTTTCAAGACATGAAAAACACAATTTGAATTTCGTCAATCAGCCCAGTAAAACAAGAGATGTAGAACTGGCCCATTTTTCTTTTTTTGCACAGTGTACATTTCATTGCATGCAAAATTTTGATATCAAATGGTAATTTACTAGATGTCCAATTTCAAGACAGCAGCAAAACAGAGACATTATAATTTACTAAAACTTTATTTTTGACAAGATAACAATAAAAACAGACTGAACAAAATTATAAAATGGATCAAATCAGAAAGTTAAACAAAAGTGTAATTTGCAATGCTAGCTGAGCTTAAGTTTAGTGGAATCCAATTCTTTATCATTTCCCTGCTACAAGGGGGAAAAGAGAGAGAGAGAGAGACAGAAAATGGAAGAAAAAAGAAAAAACAAGAAAAAGTACAAGGAATGAAGATAGAAAGACTGGTATGTGCAATATTTCATCCAAATAAGCATAGTTCATTCAGCTTAACTTGTTCTATGCATGGCTAGATAGACTACATGAAAAAATGTGGTACTTCTTTGTTATAGCAGCCCCCAAGTTTGAATTACAAACGAACCGAGATATCTCTCCAAAATCTGGCTGTGCATTCTTATACTTCGGCACATGATCGCACATTAGCACTGTCTGTGTGTTCTTATAATTTGCCACTTAATCATATACAGTCAAAAGTCTTTAATCCGGACTCATCGGGACTTCGGCAATTCTGAATTATCGGTTTTTCTGGATTATAGATCATCAGTTTAAATCTGGTAAGATATACAGAAATTATAAAATTAAAAATATGAAACCATAATTTATGAAATAAAGAGCAATTATGATCTAAAGGGTATAAAAATTTACAAAAAAAAGTTTAATATTTATTTGTTTACTATATTAAACATTTCTTTCAATGTGCGCATGCGTAAAGCATACATAACGCATAGTCAAAATTAGAAAATTGCAACCAGAACTATTTGATGTGTATTCGTGATATTTATAATGAGGAGGAAATTGATTTAAATTATATCAGAGTACATCGAGATGGAACACAACATTTAGTGAGGAATTATAAGCCGAATAAAATAAAACATCTGCCCTGAAGATGAGGATAATGCTGACAGATCAACTTCCAGTTCATTCGCGTTGCAAGGAATGTAAACGCATTATGCGTTTATGCATGCGCAGAAAGTTTCTAGCTTTAAGGTCTGGATTATAGATCATTTCGGATTATGGACGTTCAGATTAAAGACTTTTGACTGTATTAGGATAGTGTTGCATTTTTGCTCTCGCCACATGTTCTTATATTATTCAGTTTTGACGAGGTTTTTGAATTCCCATTTGTTTATTTAAAAATATATTCATTGCTTTTTTCTTGAATATGAGGTTAACTATCTTTAGTTTACCAAGTAATAAGGTGGATGTTACATAATTTTTTTCAAGAAAGTTGTTTTTTTTACCTGACAAACGAGTAGGCAAAAATGGCCACAACATAAAACTTTGTGTTAATGATGAAACTGGAGGTACAATGTTAAAAATTGCAAAAGAAAGAAGAGCCTCCATGTTGGAAATTGGTTCAGCAATTCCAAAATATTGTTCAACACTGCTATTAAATTTATGTAATCTTGGATGCAGGAATTTATGTCCATGAAATGGTGTAACAGACAGCTTAATATGTGTGAAAGTGATGCAGTTGACTGGAATAATTCCACGTAATAAAATAATAATAATAAGGATACGGATTCTTAAAACTATTCTTAAGAAATGATATGCGAGTATTGTTGTTATTATTATATATTGTGTCGTTTATTTGAACATTCACGTTTTATGAGCTTGCTGAAATTATAGCTAAGATCTTGGCACAAATTTAAAATCGCAAAATATGATTGGAAGCCACTATAACAAAGAAGTACCAAAAATGCTGCCCCCTTCAACCACATAGGGCCAGAAATAAAAGTGTGGTTCGCTTGTTGACACATATTTAAAAGCAAAATAATATGCAGCATGATTCAATACTGTCATGAATAACTGTTTCTTGGCAAAAGACATTTCAGCTAATCAGGGCATCACCTGAGCCAATTTAATATGAATCCTGGAAAATTACACTGGTTGGCTGCAAAGCGCATTCTTCGATACTTAAAAGAGCTAAAAATTATTGTTTAAAATTTCGAACGACTGGAAAAGCAATTATTGGATATACCGATTCCAATTGGGCATCTAAAGTTAATAATAGAAAATTCTATACAGGTTACTTATTCAAGCTTGCTGGAAATCCAGTAACATGGGAATCACGAAAGCAAGAAACTGTTGCATTATCAAGTACTGAAGCAGAGTACATCAGTCTTTCAGAAAGTGCCAAAGAAGCAGTTTATTTACGTCGTTTTCTTAAAAAATTAAATTTTACTGCTGATTATCCAACCATTATATATTGTGATAATAAAGGTGCACAGAAGCTTCCAAGAAACTCTGTTTACCACTCCCGCACTAAACACATAGATATTAGACATCATTTTATACATGAAATTTATGAAAGAAATGAAATAAGTGTTAAATATGCACTAACAAAGAAAATGCCTGCTGATGTACTGACAAAAACACGGACTGCTTCGAAACATGCTAAGTGTTTTAAATTAATTGGAATAACTGTAAATGATTATTTTTTTTTTTTTTTTTTTTTTTTTTTTAGCTGCCAAACATCGAAAGGGGGATTGTTGTATCATAAATTGTAATACGATGTTTAGCTTAAGAGCGCTTCTCCTGATTCATGCCCCGTTCGAGTTAATCCTGTGCGGTGACTACGTAGCTCTTTATTACATATGTATGTATGTGTATATTTTTCTTACTTCTTCGCTTTCTCTGCTGTATGAAACCATGTTTATATGTTTAAGCTAATCTCTGTCATTAAAAATTTTCATTGATGTTACAATCTGTTTAGGCTCATTTTTTTCTTCACTTTGCAAGAAAAATAAAAGGGACTCTTAAGGGAAAAAAAAAAAAAATTATAGGAAGTCTGTATAATAGAGATCATTTCAGATATTGGGTGTATGGATTTCAGACTTTTTACTTTATAACACATACTAGATGAATGACAGCAGAGAACATGTAAAATCCAAAGATTTGAAAGTAGGAAAAATATTTAAATAAAAAAAAATTTCAACAATGGTACTTACTTCCGATATTTCTGTAAGTGTAGGAGAAGTGCTGCTGTCTACAGAGGCACATGAGTCACAGCTAGTTTCCGTCCTGCCTTCCACAACTGGGAGCTTCTTCCTGGGTTTTGGCACTGGCTGTGAAAGACTTTGTAAGTTCAACTGCCCATTCAATGAAGAAGCTCTACAACTCTCATCAATTACTGTTATGCATGAAATGATGGGTTCACAGCTCCCTCCTTCTGAGGTTGAGAGCCGAGTCGGTGGAGTTGGCAGCTGTGGCCTAGTTTTTGAATGTGAAACAACAGACGGAGAAGAGGCACTTCGGATAAACGGCTGAGGAATGGGCAACCCATTCTGAACTGTTTTGATGGATTCATTTCTTTCCATTAAAGGACTTGATGTATTTTCTCCAAGACTAATGGATCGCCCAGTGGTGGCCAGTGCTTCCCGATTAGCATAGACTGGTCCACTTTTTTTACAAACTTTCTTTGCTAATGATAAACGAGGTGCAGGTATTGGAATAGATTTATGAGATTTTTTAGCATCCTCTACAGCATTTCTAGACAAACTATGAACTGCTGTACCATTGCAGCTTGCGTGACTGTCACTACCTCTCTCCTTTTCAAGCTTTTTCCGGTGGCCTATTTCAGGAGTGTTCTTTTTTATCTTTTTATCTGAAGCTACAGTTCCATCCCCATAAATGAATAATGACAAAAAGGCAGGCAGAAAATCAAAACTAGAAGCTTTTTGAATATTACTTTTTTTCCTGTCTTTAAAAGTTACATCACTGGCTGCAGAAGACAAGGAGCTCTTTCTAGAACATGTAGGTGGGGTTGAGGGATGACCACTGACCAACTCTGGTGATATTCGTGCATGCACAGATCGTGTCAGGTCTCCACCTTCTAAGTTATCATCACTGAGAGATGGATACAAACAAGAACGCACATGAGAAGTGGATGGACTTGGATTACTTGCATTCTGCGGTAAGGTCTGAGAAGAAAATTGAGGAGCTACAGATGAAAATATTTTGGAAAATAATTTACGTTGATTCAAGCTGCTTAGGAAGCGACTAGCTTTCGAAGGTGGTGACCCACCTTCAGCATTAGTTGGTCCTTGATTCTGCCTTAGGGTTGAACTTTTGTTGCGTTCAAGTGTCCCACTGCTAGAACTTGTCTGATGAGCATTACTAGTTCTACTGTCAGTTAACTGAGATCCTTCAGAACTGCGTGATCTGGACTGAGATGAATTTTCATTTGATCTACGAGGTGGCACAACACATGGATCTTGCAAAGAACACCACAACCCATCACTGAACAATGTGTAATGACTCACAAGCTGAAAGGAAAAATAATTTAATAAAAGAGCAGAATATTATTTCATTTATAATGGTGATGATACAAATTGGCTTGAGTTCACAATTAATTTTTTATCATAAAACTTCAAGAACACTAACTTCATCTGATTCAAAAGAAGTTTTGAAAGAAAATATATTCATAAGAATTCTTTTAATTTTGTTTTTTAGTTTTATACATATACATTTTGATATACCATATAATAAATATGTAATAACATATTAATATCGCTTATTAGTGAACAAAATAGATATTTACAGCCATTATGCTAGGGAACCTCTGTCCATCTTGAATTGCAAATTCACCAGAAGGTAGCACATCGATTTTATAGTGCTTTATGCGTCCAGAATGGCTCAAGCACAAAGCATAACTACTATCATCTCTTTCACGAACCCTAAAATTATATTCAAATCATTTTCAATTAATAAGTTTAAAAACAAATAAAAAATATTCATGAAATTTAAAGAAAATTCTTAACAAAGGAGATAAGGTACACAAATCTCATGAGATAAAGACCGAGATTTTCATCCTATGTAGTAACACTATTTCACTGTGATTGTAACTGATATGCTAAGCAAGAGAGTTTATATAGTATAGTCTAAATTAACAGAATGTTTAGTTATACAAATATGTTAAATTTTATTTGATCAAATAAAAACAAAAATTCCAATTAAAGTCTGGAAAATGAATTATCATTACAATGAACAAAATTCCTATTCTCGCTCTTGTTTTTCCTTTCATATTACATTTCTATTTTATTAAAGATTTTCGAAATTTTTCTTCAACTGACAATAAAAATATGTTTTGTAATAATAATGATTACACTGTATCATATATATTTAAAAAATACATTTCCACTTATTTACAATTCGAACGTTCAAAAATAAAACAACCAGTGTGTTGGCAGTACAGAATATAAAAAAGGAAAATCAGCAAGTAATATATTGTTACTCATAAAACCACAAGAGCACTAATTTCATCTTATTCAAAAATTTTGATAGAAAATATATTTATAAGAATTCTCTTTTTAAGTTAATTTTTTTGGGGGGGAGTTACTGATATTACATTTTTTCCCAATTGCTTTGCAAAAGAAAAAAAAATAACACTGAAAGAAAATACTGCTTCTAAATCAATTTCTATTTAATTAACAAAAATAAAGCATTGTTTAAAAATAAAGATGAAAACTGATTACTACCAACCCATCAATTAATTACCTGAAATTATTGATTGAAGAGTAAATATAAGCTATAGATACAACATATAAAAAACTTAAATATGAGCCAAAACTCGCTCCAGTCATACCAGTGGAAGTTTCAAAGGGAAAATAATTCTCTTTAGTTAGTTATATACTTATTGAGTATTAATTGGAGTTATATAAAACCTAGGCAAATATCTTATGAGTATCTTGTGGCACCATGCTTATCCATTATTAGCATGAAATAAGACTATTTGGCAGCAGTTTTTGTTTGCTGAAAATGATCGATGGAAAAATACATAAATACTAAAAAAATTAATATGGATAATGACAATGGTCTACGGCTTTGTTTGATCAATTACAAGAAAATCACTTATTCTTACTTAAATATTTGAATTATTTGAAAATTAAATCAAGCTTTAACGTACTGACTGTATAACAGATTTTAATGTAGTTTAAACAAAGTGATTACACAATACTTCTTTTAGTATTTTTAGAAATTATCACTGAATAACAGCTAAAAGTTCATCATTACAGAAAGAAGAGTAGAACCAAACCCCTTAATAAAATAATATTTCTAGACTTTGAACAGGAAGAGAAATATATAAATGTAAAACTAAGGCAAAATAGCAGTTAGGCATAGATTTTCAAATAAAACTCTTATCAATTTTGAGGGTGTTCAAGCACAGGTCCCTCTTTTTCAAGGGTAAAAATATTCTGCAGAGTTGTTTTCCTTCTGAAGAAAAATATTCTCTACTGAAAATTGCAACGAAAAGTTTTTAAAAATCAGTTCCTTTTCCTTCAAAATGAGTCTCTTCCCAAAACTGAAATATGCCTGAATATGTAATTTCCATCTGAATGAATTTCATAAATTAAATAAAGATCAGTAACATACTTAACTGACAATCTAGTATTACACCAAAGCATGATCAGAGATTTAAATGGAAATTAAAACATGTCATTATTTAACTTTACATTTCTAAATTATACTTTAAAATGTTTCTTACAAAAACTTTCCATCTTTGTGACCACTCTCTTCAATACTTCTCTCAGCCTCAATCCGAGAAAGGGGGCCATGAAACCACGGCTGTACTTCATGTAAAGTCTTTGTAATAAGTAATTTGATATCACTGTAATTTTCAGTCAAACTTGTGTCCAGTTTATCCTCCTGAAACAATATAAAATACTTAATAAAAATTAAAAATATTTACATACGCAAGTACAGTCAACTGAAAATTAAAGTCGCAGAGAAACATATATTTATCTCACATTTTGAGTAGGTGCTTAAATTCATTAACTGCAAATAATAATTACTGTATTTGCCAGCATATAAGACAGACCCCCTTTTTTATATACATTTCTGAAGGATAAAACTTCATTACTGATCATTATAAGGAATTTACAATATTTTAAATATTTACAAAGTAATACAAAATATACTTTCTTATACTTTAAGTATTACAAAGTAATACTTTCTGCAAATACCCAATCTATCTTGGAAAGAACACCTTTTAATCTTTCTCGTCAAAACCCAGACACTCATCTCCAGAGCTACATGAAGAGTCACTTGAAACCTCTTCTAAATCAGCATCTGAGTCCTCATAAAACAAATTGCCCTCTGTATCATCTAGTGCATTACTAAACATACTTCTTAAATGATTTAACCACTGTCTCTGTTTTCATAGCATCCCATGAAGCTTTGACCCATTCACAAACTTGTGAAATACCAGGTCTCTCTTCCTGATGGTGTAACCTCAGAATCTGAAGATTGCATCTAGCTGTTCCACTTTTTCTTCATAAATTTCTTAAATGGTTTATTAATGCTGACATCTGACACTGAAGCTGAATAGTTAGACCTCTGAAATTACAGATAATTGAGTTTTCAATTCTTTGAGTTAATTTTTAACATTTTCTGTTCTGCGAGAATGAAACTGATCCCATATTAATGCGGCAAGTTTCTTCAACAGTTCGCCAGGGTGCCTCAACCAAATTTTTCACCGAACTATACGTAACTATAATATTCTCACAACTCATAAGCAAACAATGGGAAAAAAATCGCATAACTACGAATAGAGGAAATTTTCAGAAATGAATGTAATCAAAAACTGAGTAGCAATGTATAAGACCTAACTTGACACTCCGTTTCTCAGACCTATTTTCAAAGGGGAAAAAAGCGTGTCTTGCCAGGAAATACAATACATATTACAGAACTAAAAAAAAAGGCATTGAATATCTCAAAAGAAAAATTAATCTTATTAATAAGGATGCCAATTATCAGTTCTGGCCTCACCTTACTAAGGAAACCTGCATATTTTAAAAATTCTTCTACAGATGTAGAAGAATTTTTGAAAATCTTATATGCAGAGCTAATTATGCTTTACATCCTGTTTTAATGGTAGGTTAATCTGAAATATGATTAATGCATAAACAAAAACAACAAGCTGAAGAAACCAGATAGCAAATAAACATATTTCTTAACTTAGTGGTAAAAGCTACAAGCTCTCTTAAAAGTAAAAATTTATTTGAGTAGAAGCAGAAAGATGCTTAGGTTGCAGCCTTTGTGACATCCCAATGAGCTTTTTTCGCACAGCTAAAAATTATGTCATTGCATATTAAGCGCACAACTGTCATTTAATTCCATGACAAAACAAGTGGCACCTTATTCTGCTTTAAAAGTATGACATTTTAGGTCTACTTTTCTCTTTTTATTTCATTTTGAGAATGACATAGTAATGGTAGGTATGAATGAAATAAAATTAATAGAAGTGCTTTTAAAAACATTGTCAAAAGAGATGATACTACAATAGCACCACTCTTGCAGTCATTGTTCACAACTTTTTAACTCAACTATTGACCTTTGCATAATAGTGCATAATTTGATCTATTTGTCATGTAAAAAACAATATTTTGTGAACCAGATTAAAAAACAGAAGTGGCCTGTACTTTGCAGACCCTTACTGTAACATTGCAAGGCTGATTGGTATTTTAATACCTGCAGTTTAAATCTGTATGCGCATGACCCTAGTGAATCATAGATTTGTGGGGAAAAAATGTTGCTATGGAAAGGAGCTTGAGTCTTCCATATTGTAGAATTTAGTTGCCATGTTCTGTGAGTTTTTGAGTTATTGTATGCTTTGAGTTCACATAAAATAAAATTTAGTACCATCCATAATAAGTATATTCTTTTGAGTATACTTATTATGGATGGTACTAAATTTTACTATGGTACTACTATGGAATCTCTACTATAGAATCTACTACACACTAATTTAAAACCACTTTCAGAAATCTATATCTTCCAAAAAAACCAAACACATATATAGAAGAAGCTAAAGGACAACCTTGTTGGGAAGATTCACACTAAACTTAAATACTATGAGAATGTATACATTTGTAATATTTTTATAACTAATAAACTATCAAACTCCCAATAATTCATCATTAATGGTATTTTTAATGTTCTCTGAAATCTTTTACATTTCATGATTTTGGATGACCATATATAAAATGAAGAACAGATAGCTACAAGGAAATTTTCCAAAACTAATTTACATAATGAACACACGAAAAGCATCATTCTACAAAGAACTACAATCAATTCCACTTCTTTCGTCTCCCTTTTAAAAATAAAGTTTGTTATTCATTCTAAATATTTTGAAATACAAATATACAGCTATGCATCATTATCTAAATTCATTAGATTTAATTCATCATCGAAATGTATTAGAGATAATTATAATAATTAATTTTAGTTTGATGTTTGAAATATTTTATACACTGCTAATAGAGTATAAAACACACTCTGTGAATGATAAGTCCTCTACTACATTCTTGTTAAAGATAAACAAAATTATGTTTCCAATAAATTTTCTTCCAATACAGCACTTCAGCTTTTGTACAAAGCACTTTAACTTCCACCGGAAGTTTTAGCAGCAACTTTTTATTAACGCAGTACTAATGAAACAGAATTATACATTAAAGATATATTTTTTGCAAATTTTTCAGTTGAACAACTTTATTTTTCACATTAAAATTACCTTAAAAATTACATAAAAAAAGAGAGATCTCTATTAATATTCTAAACCACTGTACAATACATACTTATTCACATTTCTAATAGAAAGCAAGTTAAATAATCAGATTAATTTTTAAGTACACATCAGAAAATTGGTAGATCAATAAAAAAAGGGGGGAATCTCTGAATAGCAACAAACTTGCAATATATATAAAGAATTATGGTTAACATGATAGAAAAATCTTAGTTTAAATTATTTAAAGAAAAACTCCCCGAGTTATTTATACTATCCTTATTACATAAAATGCACACAATTTATCACAATATCACTGGCAAATAAAATGCATAAAAACTACTTCCTTAATTTAATTTGTTACTACTGAACTGCAATTCCATAATTATTTTTTAATGATGACTGCTTATCAATACTGAAATATAACACATGGTAACTTAAAAAAAAAAAAAATCAAAAAATTACATATTGGTTTCTGGTCATGCACTTGAAAAAAAGTTTAATTTATAAAAGAACAGCAAAAATACATTTTGTATAGCAAATATACTTAAAACAATATACTTATTATGGATGGTACTAAATTTTATTTTACATGAACTCAAAACATACAATAACTCAAAAACTCGCAGAACACGGCAACTAAATTCTACAATATCGAAGACTCATGCTCCTTTCCATAGCAACATTTTTTCCCACAAATCTATGATTTACTATAGGTCATGCGCATACAGAATTAAACTGCAGGTATCAACATACCAATCAGCCTTGCAATGCTCTACAGCAGTGGTGCGCAAACTAGGGGTCGCCAGAAGTTTTTTGGGGGTCACCAAATTTTTATGAAATGCATTATGCCTGCATGCTGCATACCATACAGTGTACATATAAAAAGCGCCGTCACTCGCTGTTTAATTGCAATTTCTTTGACCGTAATGCGTAATGTATGTAAAGTGTGAAAACGCAAGTTTTTCATTCCGGTAGAAAGCGCCCTCTTCGCTTTAATTCGCCAGTTTTACTAAAAAGTGCCTATTTGACTAGACGTTAACAGCAGGGAAAGGGAAAAAATTCGCTTCCGTGATCAGCCAATCAGATGGCGAGGTACGCGGTGTATCTGATAGTCAGAGTGAAGATGTCAAGTGTTCCCATGAAGTTGTAGCATGTAGCAGTTGGCCTACAATTGTTTTAGTTTATCCTCGAGTTTTATCATGTGACGTTGTGTAATTATGATTTTTTATATTTTTATCGGGCTTTGCTACTCTTTGTTATCAGGTAGTATGTACTATCATTAGAGAAAGATCTCTGTAATTTTATTGAATTTATCGAAAAAAAAAAATGATAAAATTTTATATATTATTTGTTTTAGTTTAAATAATTTAACCCCTATCTTCTTAATGGATAAATGGGTATTATGTACACCAGGTACATCTTCAGCTAACAAAGGAACAAATACTGATGAGGATTCGCAAAATACTGAACTAAATGCCCGATCTAAAAAAATTAAGAAAATACAAATGAGGAAGTTTATTAAGTATGGTTTTCACATTTTGTGCTGTTGATGATGAAGAATGCCTGATATGTGTCATTTGCAAACGAAAAATTAGCAAATGAAGAGCCTGAAACCAGCTAAATTAAAAAGGCACCTGAAACTAAACTAAAGAACTTCAAAATAAACATGCCGATTTTTTTCAAAGACGAGCTGAAAATCTAAAAATTCAAAGTGCACATTTAAAGAAATTTAACCATACCTCAGAAAGCATTACGAGCTTCTTTGGAAGTTTCTTATCTAATAGGAAAAACAATGAAACCCCATACAATTGGAGAATCCCTTATCCTTCCTGCAGCAACTAAGATGACATCAATTATGCATGGCAATAAATATGGAAATGAACTAAAAACAATACCATTATCAAGAGATACCATGTCTCGGCGGATTTCTGAAATGTCACGAAATATCGAGTTAGAAGTCATAAAATGCATACAAAATTCATCTGTATTTGCTTTACAACTGAACGAGACTACCGATATTACTAAAATGTCACAACTAATTATTTATGTTAGACTAGACTGGAAGAGAAACACGCTAATGTGACAATCAAAATCATAAAAACAACCTTGTATTTAGCGTAAGTATGATGAAACACTCAATCAATTTCGAGGGCAGCTAAAGGTCTCTCTTCATCAGGAGAAAGAAATACCTAGAAAGAAGAAAATAAAGGAGAAGGAGTCTCAGAAACACGTGGTCCTTATCAGCACTGCAAGTGGTTAAAACTGGATTTTCTTGTCCTTTATGCTTGATCAGATAGCCTGGCTCAGTAAAAGTAGGTGGCCAGTGCAACTCTGATTAAAAATCCAGTTTTAACCACGTGCAGTGCTGATAAGGACCACGTGTTTCTGAGACTCCTTCTCCTTTATTTTCTTCTTTCTAGGTATTTCTTTCTCCTGATGAGGAGGGACCTTTAGCTGCCCTCGAAATCGATTGAGTGTTTCATTATACTTACGCTAAATACAAGGTTGTTTTTACAATTTTGATTATTTACGTTAGGTTTATTTTTAATGAAGATATAACAGAAACGTTTTTATGTTGCAAAAGTTTGGAAGGAAAAACAACTGGAGAAAAAATATTCGAAGTAATAAATGAATATTTTGAAACAAAGTCCCTTACCTGGGCAAACTGTGTTGCGGTTTGTATTGATGGTGCGGCAGCATTAACAGGTTCGAATAAAGATCTCAGAGGCTTAATTCAAAAGGTGGCACCTCACATGGTATTTAATCACTGTATGATTCATCGATAAGCTCTTGTTGCAAAAGATATGGATGAAGAGTTGCACAACATATTACAAGACGCTATTAGTTCAATTAACTACATTAAATGCAACAGCCACAACAGCCGTCTCTTTTCAATACTTTGCATTGAGATGGGCTCAACGTATGAGAGATTACTGATACACACCGAAGTCAGATGGCTTTCACGTGGGAAAATACTACGACGGATATTTGATTTGAGAAATGGAGTGTACATGTTTTTTAATCGAAAAGAAACTAGATGGCAAGTTATTATATCAATGAAGTTTGGCTAGGGAAGCTGAGCTATTTAGTTGATATTTTCGAAAAACTTGACTTAAATTTGAGCTTGCAGGATGAGAATTCAACTATCATAACTTCAGCCAGTAAAATTCAAGCTTTTAAGAATAAGCTTAGTCTCCGGTAAACTGAGCTGAATAAAAACAACACCTACATGTTCCCTTCTTTAACGATTTTACCAAGGAAAATAATATAGATATATTTACATTTAAAAACATCATTTCCAATCACATTGAAAAGTTAAAGGAAAATTTTTCGAGAAGATTCGAGGATTTTTCTGAAAACGATCTTGGTTGGATTCGTGATCCATTTTCCTTTGACATATACAGTTCAACTCTTTCAAATTAGTGAGAAAGAGCAATTGATAGATCAAATTAGTGATTATACTCTTCGAAATCAATTTGAGACTCAGCCTTGCCAAAAATTTTGGCCTATCCTGTGGAAAAACAATATCCCAGTTTTATGCAAGAATGCCATCCAGAGTGTTAATACAATTTGCATCAACGTAATTTATGTGAAACTGGATTTAGCAAAACTACTTTCAATGAAAAACTAAATACCGCTCGCGTTTAAACCCTGAAGATGATATGCGAATTGCAATTAGCAATATACATCCAAACATCGATGAGATAATTAGAAACTTGCAGCCACGTACATCTCATTAAAGGGCAATTTACTGATTTTTGTGTTATACAAAAAGTATTTTCTTAAAATTATAAATAAAATCAATATGAGTCAGATATGATGATGTTTTTATTCGATGAAATGAAAGAAATGCGAGAAATATACATCATATTTGTGAACATTTATCTCTAGGGGTCGCCAAAAATTTTCTCTCTACAAAAGGGGTCGCAATCGAAAAACGTTTGCGCACCACTGCTCTACAGTAAGGGTCGGCAAAGTACAGGCCACCTCTGTTTTTTAATCTGATTCACAAAATGATATTGTTTTTTACATGACAAAATAGATCAAATTATGCACTATTATGCAAAGGTCAATAGTTGAGTTAAAAAGTTGTGAACAATGACTGCGAGAGTGGTGCTATTGTAGTATACTTTTCGTTGTCTCTTGACGTATGACAAGATATTACTGATACTGCTCAATTGCTGCTGTTTTTCAGAGGGATCAGTGCTCAGTATGAGGTAATTGAAGAATTAGTTTCTATGAATATCGTGTATGGAATACCCGCAGATCAAGATATCTTCAAGGAGGTCGAAAAAACGCTAACAAAATACAATTTATATAGAATCAGTTAAAATGTGTCACGATTGATGGTTGATAAAATGTGTGGAATGGGGAAAGGATTAGTTGAACAAGTTTTTATGGCTTATGAAAATGCTAAATGTTTAAAACCTCTGGTAATTCATAGTATTATTCACCACCAAGTTCTCTGCAGGGAACACCTTTATCTGTCATGTATTATTGAACCAGCTGTATCAGTAGTGAGCCTTATTTAATCTCGTGGACTTGAGATGTGCAGTTTTGTGAATTTTTATTAGAAATCAAAATTGAATATCCTTGCCTTATCATACAGTTGTTTGATGGCTCAGCAATAGAAAAGTTTTGTTGCAATTCTTCAAACTGAGAGAAGTGATAGTTTTTTTTTTTTTAATGAGAGAAATTGTCCACAACCTTTATTGTGAATGGCTATAGAAATTAACATTTGCCAAGGATAGAATGGGATATCCAATGAATTCAATTTACAATTTAGAGGGGAAAACAGTATTCATATGTGAAATGTATTCTATCATGAAGGCATATCGTGAAAAATTTGCATTGTTTGAAATGTCTTCCAGAAGATAAATGCACTCAATTAAAATCCAGTTGGGGAGGAATATCCGTATTTGGGAGTACTTACTAATGCAGAAAGACCTCTTCAAAAATAAAGTATGTAAAATAGCAATTCAGATCATTATTGACAGATGATCATTTGCAAACAACTTTGATAGTAGAAAGTATTAATTTTGAACTCCAGTATGATGAAATATTGTCCCAGAAAAAACAATTACATTATTCACATTAGAAATTTTAATTTTAACTGAAGAATAATAACATTTTTTAATATATAAATTAAAATGTGTATAAATATTACATAAAAGTATAGTATAATTTTTTTTTTTCATTTTCCTTTTGTTATATGAGAAAATTATCCATTCATATCTTAATGTTTGTTACTTGGCCCGCCGAGCCTAAAATTTTACAATACGGTACTTTCTATAAAACGTTTGCTGATCCCTGCTGTAAGCATTCAAACAACAGTTGCTACTAATACATACATAAAAATAATCAAAATATTTGAAATGTATACAGCAATACATAATAGTTCAAGTCACTTAATCACAATAGAATATTCAAAATTGAGATAATGATTAAGGCAATATTCGCTTTCCTTGTGGGGAAAGACTCATAATTTTGTAACTGGTCATCTGAATTATTAGTCTGAGTTTCTAAACTACACAATTTTTTTTTATTTATTTATTTATTTATTTATTGCATTGAAGTCGACTGAATTCCTTTTCTATTATGCTCTTTTTTCATTAAATTTCATTGATTTTTTTGTTTCATTAAATTTCATTGTTTTGTTTTTGCATTTGACTAAAAATAAACCAAAGAGTTTTAACTCTTGTAAAGTTATGATTAGCTCAATTTTCTTTGAACTTCTTGTTTAGATTTTTGATGCTTCAATGCTAAACCATTTGAATTTGGAGATCCACTGTATATTAAATTTAAAATAATCTCAATAGTTATAAAAATCTATAAAAATTTACCTTAATACTTACATCAATGCCCCATTCTTTGGCCTTTTTCAGTATTGCTTTTCTGATCGTTTCCTCCGTCACTCCCCAGTGTGTCAGTGGAAGGACAGAATCTAGAGATTTGTTGCAAGGCAAGGTAGGTTTACATGCAAGACCTTCCACACCCTGAACCAGTTCAACAGGCCCGGCAAATTTCTGTCGAGGCACGCCACACAGTCCAACTTCTCCACTACTGAGTTTCTTGATTCGGTAATGAAGAACACTGAAAATAAGTACAAACACAAAAACATAAAAAAAAATTATCCCAAGCAAAAAAAATTTTATCAACATTAAAATGTGAATGCAATAAAATAAAGTTTAATTATTTTCATCCTTTTTGCTAAACTATGATACATTGTGGCCAATACTTGGAATTGCCCCCAAATCTCAGTTAAGTGAATTGAAGATTATTAACTAGTCCTTATCTAAAAGAAAAGTTAAGTTTGCTAAGTTTAAATCAGAATTTCAGAAGATCCGAAAAATTACTATTACTAACCACCATAAAATAAATAAAATTTCTATGGTATATACAAAAAGAAAGAGAAAATGCATGGTATAACAGCAGCAAACGTAGATAATGTTGCGGCATTTAGGAACTGTTTTTATCCAGAACGGTGTGTAATTTAACTGCACATCATCTGGAATACATAAATATTGTTAAATCATAAAAAAATAATTACATAAATCATACAAATATCTGGCTGTAATGAAAGTTTTCCACCAAAATTGTTCTTCAGGTAGCAGTACTCTTAGAGCAGTTAGCAAACACCATTCAAATGTATGATTTTCTGTGAATGTTTTGGTAGTTTTTCAAAACCTTCAACTCAGAAACTTGGTGGTCACAAGTCCAGAAATAGGTCAACTTCATTTTGGATGTCTTGTGCAGAATGGAAGCAAGATGTAGCTGCAAGTGTGAAAACAGGTAACAGTCCGAAGAAGCGATATTGGGGCTGTATGGTGGGTGTGACAAAAGATCCCATTCAAGTCCGTACAGATTCCAACCATAGAATGCAAACATGCAAGACCTTCCACAAAATGAACCAGTTCAACAGGCCTGGCAATTTTCTGTCGAGGCATGCCACAGTATAATTTTTTATAAGGAAAAAAAAAAAATGTACTCAATGCAAAAACAAACCCAGGAAAATGACTGTTGGATTTTAAGATAGAAATTTGCACTCATCTGCTGTGCATGCACATGTACTTGGGTTGCCACATAAATACATTTGTGCAACACCAAGGATTGTCTATTTTGGTAACACAGCATGTTACCTCATGAATACTTTTCATGTGGATAATCAGAACCCTGATTTCTTACAAAGCAAAGAAAAAAGAAATTTCACAATTTTTATTACTTTGTTTAGCTCAGGATTTTGGGTTTAGTACATTGTTTGCTGATGAGCATTGTCACACTTTATGATTAATTGTTAGTCACAGACGAAATTGAAAAATATTAACTTTACAACAACAATTTAAAAAAATAACAAAACCATATACATTTAATACATTTTTCATTATTCTGTTGTTAGTAATTCCTTATATCCACTTCTTATTTTTAACTGAAAGTAAGTTAAATTCTTTCATGTCAAGATACTGAGAATTAAAGCTAATCTCTAGATGCAAAATATACTTAAATTGCTATGTATTTATTATATATAAAATGCATTAAATTCTTTGGATTATGTGCTCTTAGTTTAAATTTAAAATTTTGATTTGAATTTTTCACTAAAGTATTTTATTATTTCACTAACGTTTTCAATTCTTTGAATAGAATTCTCTTTATTCAAGATTTAAATTTGAATTTACTTTGTTTTTTCCTTGCTTTGGGAAAGGGCAAGAATTTTTGAGTGAACTACTATAATTAAAATACATTGAAATGGTTCACTAGCTAATTTCGGATACAGAAAAGCTACAATTTTTGTGGAAGCAAGATTTCAGTGTTCCCCCTCCTGATAAAGTGGCATTGAGGTTGACTGAATTCCTTTTCTATTATGTTCTTTTTTCATTAAATTTCATTGATTTTTGAATTGGTGTATTGCTTGTTTGAAGAGCTTGGGTTTTAATGTTTTTTAAATTTCTTTATTACATTTATAAGATTACTTGAAATTTATTACTTATGAATTTCAATTTGTGGTCTTTATGAAAAATTGGTTCTAAATTTTTTATTCTATGCCTTTACTGTTAATTTTTCAGCAGATTAATGTGTGAAAATTCTAGACATGATTCTATTTTGTTTTTAAAAAAATTGTTTTGAAATATATATATATATATATATTATATATATATATATATATATATATATATATATATATTAAACAAACATTCAGTATTCGTAAAAAGCAAATTTAAAATTAATTAAACTTTAAATGAAATTGAATTACAAATAAATGATTAATTATTGCTGTGAACTAATCTACAGTATCATTTAAATTCTGAGAGCACATGTAAATCAAGTGCAAGTATCAAAATCTATGAATAAATGCATAATTCCAATAATTTTTTTAATCCTAAAAATTTATAAAAATGCATAAGTGAATAATTGTTGAGCAGGCAGGAAGCAGACTTATCAAGGGGAAGTTGCTTCCAAACCTAACTCTTCCATCATTCGTGTTTCATAATCCATGTAGGCAAGGGTAAAAGGAAAATTCAAAACCAAAAGTAAAACCAAATGCATTGAATTACTAAAAAGAAGTTTAAACAAGTGGAATTTAGAGAAATTAGCAAGTAAAGACTAGAATTAAAATTAAGTTAATTAAGAGTAGAAAACCACATTTTTAAGGAAACCAAAGTAATTTAGAAACTCTTGCCTACAAAAAAACTTCCCCAACACGAATTATGCAAATAAATCAAAAGAAATTAGATACTATTTATAAAAATACTATACTATATATACATGGTGATATCAGTGAATAAGCCCTGATTTCAAAATTAAATATCACTACAACAAAGATCGATAAAATTATGTGGTAAACTGTACGTTTATTAGCAAAACTGTAAAAATGGTGTACAAAAGTTTAGAAAATTTAATTACAAAAATCGTTAACAGATGGCACTCTGCACTGAAAACTCTCTATGGAAGGAGTCTATAAAATTAAAAATAAAATAAAGTTAAGCAGCCTTTGCAATCAAAATACAATTTTTTTCAAAATGTTCACTGTTCGAAACAATAAGGTGGCATAAATGAACAATGAAATTTGATATCACGTCTTGCAATGTCTCAACGGAAATGGAATCACATGCAACACCAATCAACGATTCAAGTTCAACCTAGAGTAGTGGGATTGTTTCGATAGACAAATATCTTTCAATGCGTACCCATAGAAAGAAGTCACAAGGAACTCAGATTCGGAGAGAATATGGAGGCCAAGCTATTCCTTTTGTCAGTAAACTGCATATAATCTAACGCAATTACTCTATTCCCAAAGTATTCATGAAGAAAGTGAAAAAACTTTATACCTGTTCGATGTGGTCGAGCCCCATCTTGCATGAGCCAGTCAATACCTGGTCGATCCTCCAATGCTAGTTGAGTGCTGACAAATTGTTCCAAAATTGTAACTTAACATTCAGTAGTTATCATTTCTTGTACGAAAAAGGGTCCGATAATGCCTCTGACGCCTTAATGATTCCATTCAAATGAAAATGTGCCTCATCTGTGAACCAGATGCAGCTCACATCAAATCTGTCGTTGTCAATCATTGTTAGAATCTGATTCGCAAAGTCAACCCTTTGTTACACAGCTTTCATGGGTATGGCCTGACGACTTTGGATTTTGTATGGAAACAGCCATAGGCTATTTTTTAATATTTTTTGCATGCTCGTGCACTTCAAACCTGTCTCTGATGCAATCTGTCAGATGCTTTTCCTAGGATTTTGCTGAACAATTCCAGAAACTTTGGCTGCTTTTTCAGAGTGACTACAGTTTGCCTAGGCCCAACATTTTCCTTTCAATCATCAGCCACGCTGCCAGTCCGTTTGAATTTCGCGAAGAGCATACGAATGGTTTTCGCATCGGGTCCAACTGGAATATTGAATCGGTTTTGAAAACTGTGAGGTGCTGTCATAGGACTGTGTTCTAATCGGTGAAATTCCAGCAAAAAAAAAAAAAAAAAAAAAAAAAAAAACATTGTTAAATGGACTCTTTTGACTAGCCAACAGTCGTACTGATCACTTTCGACTTCGAAGCACATTTTAAAGGCTACTGATAGGTCATTGCGATTACAGCGCCATCTGTTAATGATTTTCATAACTAAATTTTCTAAACTTTTTACACCATCTCCATTTCTATCAATCTTTGTTGTAGAGATATTTAATTTTGAAATCAGGGCTTATTCGCTGATCAACCTGTATATACTATATATATATATATACAGTCAAAAGTCGTTAATTCGGACACCCGTAATCCGGAATGATCTATAATCCGGACCTCAAAGCTAAAATCTTTCTGCGCATGCGCCGCATCGACGCATGCGCATAGGCGTTTTACTCGTGCGCACAAGACATTTACGACTGCGCATATGCATCTGCGCAAGTGCAGAATACGTTTTCGCGTGCGCGTTTAATGTATAACGGACGGTAATAAGCTAAAATTATCTAATTATCTTTTCAGTTAATGTTGATAATTGCGTTGTTCCTTAATCTTCAAATTGGATCCGGCTTATTTTTTGCAGACTGTAAGAGCAATTTTCTAAAAGTAAGCTTGAACTTTCGATTATGTCAAATAGAATTTCCGATGCTGGAGCTCCCAAAGGATCTAGAAAACGAAAGTATGTTTCGATGTCCCATCAAACAAAAAACGAATTGCTACAAAAAATGGATTTAAAAGCATATCCTTTGTTTATCTAACCGTTCCGAAATCTGTTTATCAATTTCATGCTGCTCTGCGCGGGGGGGGGGGGGGGCACGTCGCGGGCGCGCAAGGAACTGGAAGTTGATCTGTCAACACTATCGTTATCTTCAGGGCAGATGTTTTTATTTTAGTCGGCTTATAATTCCTTACTAAATGTAGTATTTAATTTCGATGTACTCCCGTCTTTGATATGATTTAAATCAAAAATTCCTCGTCATTATAAAATATCACGAATACAAATCAACATAGTTTTCTGGTTGCAATTTTCTAATTTCGGCTATGAGTAAGGTATGCTTTACGCATCCGCGCGTTAAAAGAAATGTTTAATAAAGTAAACAAATAAAATATTAGGCTTCTTTTTGGTAAAATTTGGATACCCT